CGGGGGGCTTGGGGCGGGGCTTGAGGAGGGAAGGGGCATTGAAGGAGGGGCCTGAGGGGGAAGGGGTCCTGGGGGCGGGGCCTGAAGAACCTGGAAGGGAGGGGGCGTGGGGGATCCAAATAGGGAGGAGTGTGGCCGAGAATTGGTGTCGGGCGAGCGCGGACTGTGAGAATGGGGAGGAAGGGATTTGAGAGACAGGAAATAAAAGATCCTGAAGGATTGGGTAAGGTGAGAAGACGGCGACTTCGGGTGAGGGACAAGGTAACCGTGCGCAGGAAGGGAGATGGGAAGGGAGGACCTGTTGGGAACAGGTAATTAGCAGGATGCTCCGGGTGAGGCCAGTGTGACATTTTGGGGATTGACTTGGGTGAAAACCAATGGTTAGGAGGATGACTCCGGAAAGGAAATCAACATAAAGTTAAAGGTTGAATGGAGAAATGTTGAGATGTGCATGGGAGCCCCTGGAGTTGAGGGTTCATGTTGGAGGCGCGTAAACTGAGGGAGGATGGAAATCTTAAAAGTGTTAAATGGGCAGTGTGTGGTTGAATTACCGATCAGGAAGAAAAATGCTTAAAAGATAACATCGGGGTGAGGAGCTGGAAGAAGCTGGTGTCTACTGAAATTCATATTTTTAAAGAGACTTGAATAATTTATTACTGCTTTGGGCTCTCAGGGTCCGTCTCCTTTTTTTCTTCATGCTGTTAACTTTTGCCTTACAGGTTTGATTTCTGAAGGACTTACTAAACGTTTTTGGCTACTCTTTTCTCCTGTAACAAACCAGAAGAGAACTTCAGGGAATAAGGACTGTCCTAGCCCACCTGTGGATTTACTAAGTAACTTTGATGCAAATCATTAAACTCTCATTTTTTTCCCCTTTGACATAGGTGTGATCCATTCCTGCCTCCAAAAGATTGTTAACCAAATGGGATCCAATTTGTGGTTAAAGTGGTGGCAAAGAAGTGTTCTCTGAAAACGAGATTGAGATGTTAATATTTAGGACACATAGCTTTCTCAGTTTCTTACTCCCAGCCTTGCCGCATTTTTTTGTGCTAGGGAAGAGTTGGTTTTGATTTGATGCATATTCAGTTTTTAAACTTATTTTTTTGTTCTTTTTTGGAGGCTGGCTGGTACAGGGATGGAACCCTGGACCTTGGTGTTACCAGCACCATGTTCTAATCAACTGAGCTAACCAGCTAGCCCCAAATTTTTAACTTTTCTTAATGTCAGCTCTTGGTAGTCAGAAATTTCATATTTTGTTTCATTGTGTTGGCTGCCATCCAGATGAAGATAGGGAAGTTCGAGTTGTGGATGAATGAGGTCAGTTGATGGAGACTGAGAGAATGCGGTGTTTGATTTTCTAGCCACCTGAGTGTTTTACTCTTGACTGACACTGACTTTCTTGATGAACCCTTTGAGAATTCACTGAAAAGTAGTGTTTTAGACAATTGAGACTTATGCTTTGGTCCATTGACTGTGGCTTTGTTGTCACTTCGTGGGGACCAGTTTTGGCTGGTAGACAATTTTAGCTTCTTTATTATTAATTCTTTGAAATTCTGACTTTTTTAGCTTTCTTTTTGGGCATAGTACTCTCAGCACTTTGCCCATAGATGAACTTGTTTAGCTTAGAGGTGTTCTGAAAGTCTTGGCATTTCTGAGGTCATGTGAATTTGCTGAAGAGGGGGCAGTTTCTAATTCTGCCTCACCCTTGATATTAGAGTAGTGTTTACCTTGGTTGGTACTGATTAATTATGTGATGTCGGCACAAAGGTGAAATGCAGGGGAGGGTGGAAGGTGTTGAGAACAGTGGAGTTTTCAGGTTTTATTGATGCCTTTTAAGAAGGGAAGAAAGAGGAGTCCTTTTCTGTTGAAGAGAAAATTATCAAACATTCTTGACTTCTTGGGCTCTCTGATTGGGAGAGTAACCTGTGCACTTGAGTCTGTTTTCTTATTGCTCTGAAATAATTCTGAAATTCACGGGCTGTTAGTTCCAGCTGTTTCAGCAAACCATAGTCTTCTACTAACCCCAGGAAGAGCTGCAGACTACAAAGTATGTGCTCTTATTTGAGGGGTGAAAACCTGCTTAGCATTATGCTGTTATTTCAACCTACTGTACACCTTTTTGGCTTATTTTTAAGAGGGTTTTGAGATAACTTATGGAGGCTTAGAGCTTCTGGACAGGCTTTTGGTATAGCCTGCTTTTATAACATAATGATTTTTAATTTTTCTTATCCTGTCACATTTTTCCATTGCTCTACTTGAGCCATTCCTAAGTGGAAAATGGCAAATTACAATTTTTTCCCCTCCTTTTTAGTCCCTGGTGGACATCTTGTCTTTGTCACAGTTTGATACCACCAAATTGAAAGAATTCTTGACTGCTTCAAATGGGAATGGTGACAGAAGCTGAGCTGGGTCTCCTGGGCCGGAAAATGGATTCTGTCAAAGCAAAGAATAGATGCAGAGACACAAATGGAGAACTTGAAGCTGTGACTAACGTTTTGGCAACATGCATCTCTTTGCCAAATAACTTCTTTTCTTCTGGAGTGTGATTGTTGATCTCCTTCTCAAAGTAGGCTCTTGTTGCTACTGTTCTTCACACAGCTCCCAAGCAGAAGTTGGCAGAGTTCCGGTTTACTGACTGTCTCTTGAGGGATATGCCCCGGATTAGAGTGGGTAGGGCGTTCCATGTCAAAATGAGGTTCATTGGCAGATCCTGAGAGCTGCTCTGCGAGGAAATAGAGGCAGTACTTTTTTTTTTTTTTTTTTTTAAAGATGACGGGAAAGGGGATCTAACCGTTGACTTGGTGTTGTCAGCACCACGCTCAGCCAGTGAGCAAACCGACCATCCCTATATGGGATCCGAACCCGTGGCCTTGGTGTTATCAGCACTGCACTCTCCTGAGTGAGCCATGGGCCGGCCCAAGGCAGTACTCTTTATTGAATGTTTTTGCAATCCTTTATCTTTCTTCTGAATTCAAATCTGTTTTTTATTCATCTGGTGATTAAATGCAGACTCATTGCCTTTGCCTAGCTTTGAAAGTCTTGGGCATTGAGGAAAAAAGACAGTATTTCCAACTTTTTTTTTTCTGCACTCTCACTGCTGAGCCTTTGAGCCTGAGGAGCCACAGGCTAAACTTGCAAGCATTTCTTGATATCTATAAAGGGGTACTGAAAAATGCTGAATAGAACTTTATGGGGAAAAACGGTGTTAGTAGGAAAAAAAAGGGGGTGCATTTGCTAACATCTCTGTCAGTCTTAAATCTCTTAGGATTTTGGCTTAGCATACGGAAGGAGCCTGTGGAGGCATATAAATTATCAAATAGGGGAACCAGGAACTGTCTCCTAACTTGCCATTTAAGCTTGGCAAAGTTATAGCAATTTAGAATGGCTATCTGATGGTGTGTTCTATTTAGTAAACACCCTTTTGTTTTTCAGGGTTTAACTAGCTGATAATAATGTTGTCTCCGATAGGTCTTGAGATGGATTAGGAAGATCATTTCTTGAAATATGTGACAGTGAGCCTTGTAACATTGGAGATAACCCCAAAATGAATCCCCTTGTTGATGGCCCTGGATTCAGCTTTCTCTTGCCATCATTAGTCAAGAGTATTCTGTTTGATATGCAGGTTTGAAAACCTAGCAGGTTCAGATCCAGAGGTTTTGACTCTGATCCAGGGCTTTGATTTTGATTACAAATATAATTATTGGAGTTCTGTTTAATGTAGCCTCAGATCTTTCTTTCCTGAAGAGTGTCTTGAAGTTTGGCAAATTTGTATATCTAAGGAATGTGTATAGATTTCCTCCTCATTCTTAAAATTGGTTTAAAAAAAAATTCGTTTCTTAAATTTCATGGATTCAAATTAAGCTCCATTTGGGTTTCGAGGTTGCTCAGTGAAAGTAATTTGTTTTTAGCCAGTATTTATGATATTTCTCAGTAGAGATTCATCGACCTATTTTCTATGCTTATGGAAATGCTGA